TATATATATATCAGTATATGTATATGTATATCAGTATATATATATATATCTATATATATATATATATATATATATATATATATATATATATATTTATCCGGGTACCTCGGGTATGGATTTCATATATCCGGACCCAACCCGGTTTGGGAGACCGGGTACCCGAACCCGGGAAAAACCCGGTTACGTCCAAAATTACCCTATCCGGCCGGGTAATACCCGACCGGGTCGGGTTATACCCAAATAACCCGACCCAAATGCCCGCCCCTACATATGGAGTAAATGAGCCATACTCAAGCCGGGCTTCCCAAATTTACGCTACTGAGTCCTGACTCGGTGACTCCACCCCGGGAAAAAAAAACAAAAAACAAAACGAGGGGGAAAAAAAACAAGTAGAGCGAGCTTTAACATCTACATGTGTGTAACAATTTGCTGAGATACCTACTATAGATAGGTAGGTTTTAGAATTTAAATCCAGTTGTCATGATTTCAAAAAAGAAAACAAGAATTCCCTGGCAATTAATGCATATAATAGCAGTGCAGAATAGCACAGTAAGTATAGCATGAATATAGTGTGTTTAGGTAACAGGACTGCTCACATATGCTAAACTCACACCACACGTTTTTAGTATCTTTTACTCTACCTTCATAAATTTAATAATTATGGTTAAAACATAAATACAACAAACAAACAATTATGGGATCAATCAAGTGATGATTATGATGATAATTACCAACTTATTCTTACACTTACATAAATAAGAAACAAACTCGAAATAAAAAATGAAGCATCAACTACCAAAATAAAAGACGTTGCAAAATATGTATGAATAATTATTATTGCACTATATAATGTCTTTATGTGCAAACATAGAGTGGTGGTGGCCAATATCAACTAACAGGGAATTCTTCATATTACAACCAACATACATAACATACACAATTTAAGATGTTTCCAAACATGAACAATAACATAATTAATTACAAAGCCTGGAAACTCTTTACTTTATCTACTAATCTGAAAAAGCAACTATCTCAAGGAAAATATCCCATCGAAACTTAAAAGCAAACTTATGAAACTAGAAAAATCGAAGAATCAGAGCTGAATGCAAAAAGATCCTACCATCTTGAATCTGGAATGCTTGTGATACATGCTCATTGATGCACTATATACTAAACCAGAAAGTTAGATATATGCAAAATAAATAAAATTAGGAGATAAATGGAAACACAATATGAACCCTTTATTCGGCTGACGGTCCGGTCCGGTTCATACAACATTGGTTACAAGCACCACTGCATTTGAGAATCGGGACGAACCTTTATTGAATTAGATTATAGAAAAGAGAAGGCAAAAAAGGCTACACAATCTTCGTGTACACGGATTACCCCAGCCAAATTGAGCGCCATTTCAGTTAGAATAGAACATAAATTCCAAACCAAATTCATTTTATTCGAACAATTTTATAGGAAGAATTATTTTGCCTTTGGTCAATGTATGTCAATGCATCTATCTATTGTGTTGCACAAATCTTAGGGAAAACGAAACGGGAACCATTATTTGCGACCGACCGGCAACCAAGAATCATATGCTGGTAAGTAGAAAAAGTATTGAAAATAAATAAACCATAAATCCCGTTTCTAAACAAACATTAAAAAAAATACAAGATCAAAAAAAGCATATCTCATAATCATCAATTAGTCAGTCATAAATCATAATTGGCCGCCAATACAACACCTTCTTTTTTTTCCTTAGGCTAACAAAGATAAATACACAAAATAAACGTATACCACCAATTTCAAATTCTCCTCTTCATTATTTTTTTTTTTTATATATTTAATTTGTAAATAGAGAAAATCTGTAAGAAACTATGCCTGGCTCCATTCTGTCTGCCTTCAACCAGCCAAAAGAAAAAAGCATAAAAAGGACACATTGAGTGTGTGTGCTTCCCTCATCAATAAAAAGACAAGAATGACCTCAGATTTACAGAGCAACAGTGAGATAATACCTCCTTGAAAAGGGCAACTTCGTCTTTATACACCAAGACCCTCCTGCTCCTCCATGTTTCAGACACTGCACCACCACCACCTCCCATTGTAGGTTATAAATAACAATAAATAGATTTCAGGTTTTCTTTTTTTAACTCCTTTCTGATTTTGTACTGTGAAAATGAGAATTTAGAGAGAGAAAGAGAGAGAGAGAGAGAGAGAGAGAAGGGGGAGGGAGATATGGAATTTATAGGAGAGAGTGTTTGATTGGTTTGTGGAGAAAGTGTAAATGTCAAAACGGTGTTGGGATTGGAGAATGAGCGAAGAAAGGACTAATCGAGAAATAATTTAAATCAAGACTCAAAAAAAAAAAACAGAAATAATTTAAATCAAGACTCGGTAGTCGTATGGGTAAGGGCGGTGAAAGGCCATTTTCAACTTTCTCTTTGTTCCTTTTTCCCAACACTCTCTTTTGTCTCTCCCTTATGTACGCCAAGTAACAATTTTGGTTAACTTTACCCGTATTTGATACCAATTCAAAAACGGGATAATATGCAATACCACTCCTTTAAAATATATTTTATTTTAGGGGTAATGGCAATAGGCCCATGACCACGACACTTAATTAAAAGAGGCACTTAATTAAAGGGCATTTAATTAAAAGAGGGACATCCAACTTTTTTGTCTTTCAAATAAATCCACCCCATTCAAACTTATTTGCAAATAAGGAAAATCACTTTATATATACCAAAATTACCCTCAATTCATTGAAACCCAATTCAACTCCAATTTCATGATTTACACCCCAATTTAGCTCAATTTCATCAATTAACCAATTTTAACCCTAATTTCAATTTTGACCCCAATTTTAACCCTAATTCTTATCAATTCCACCCATTATGCTCTAACTTCCTTAATATTACACAATGACCCCGGATTTAAACAAATATATCACATTAACCCCCAAAAAAAAATTTCGGAAAATATTTTTTTCTTCTTAAATGTTTTTTTTCCGGCCAAATTCTGGCGTTGATCGCCGGAGACCGCCGGTCTCCGGTGTTGACTTTTTTTTTTATATAATTTTTTTTTAATTAATATTACTGTCTTGGCTGCTAAATTACTGTCTCCGGCAGTTATTTAACTGCCGGAGACAGTAATTTAGCTGTTAATTGAATTTTTTTTTTCTTCAAAAATATTTTAATTAATATTACTGAATTCGTTGCTAAATTACTGTCTCCAACAGTTATTTAACTGTTGGAGACAGTGATTTTAACTGTAAATTGACTTTTTTATTCTTAAAAAATATTTTTAATTAATATTACTGTATTCGTTTGCTAAATTACTGTCTCCGACAGTTATTTAACTGTCGGAGACAGTAATTTAACTGTTAATTGACTTTTTTATTCTTAAAAAAATATTTCTAATTAATATTACTGTATTCGTTTGCTAAATTACTGTCTCCAGCAGTTATTTAACTGTCGGAGACAGTAATTTAACTGTTAATTGGCTTTTTTTTCATTTTTTTTCTTAAAAAAAATATTTTAATTAATAGTACTGCCTTAGATGCTAAATTACTGTCTTCAACAGTAATTTAACTGTCTTAGACAATAATATTAATAATATTACTGTTCGGAGAAATAATATTCATAATATTACTGTTCGGAAAAAATAATATTCATAATAATATTGTCCCAAACAGTAATATTACTGTCTGAGACAGTAATTTAGTAGCTAAAACAGTAATATTAATTAAAATATTTTTTTCTTCTAAGAAAAAAAAATTCAAATAAAAATGAAAAAATAAAAAGTCAACGCCGGAGACCGGCGGTCAATGGTGGTTGATCGACCAGAAAAAAATTCAGGAAAAAAAAAATTTCAAAAAAAAAAAAAGTCCACTCCGGAGACTGGCGGTCAACGGTGGTTGACCGACCGGAAAAAAATTCAGGAAAAAAAAAAGTTTACGCCGGAGACCGGCGGTCAACGCCGGAATCTGTCCGGAGTCTGGACATTTCAGAGAAAAAATTATTTTCTGAAAAAATAAAAGTTTTGGGTGTTAATGTGATATATTGTTTTAAATCCGGGGTCAATGTGTAGTATTAATGAAGTTAGATCATAATGGGTGGAATTGGTAACAATTATATTATTGAGGGTATTTTAGACTAAAGACATGGGGATGGGCTTAATTGAGAGACTGTTTTTTTTTTGGACCAAAATGCATTTAAGTCCCATGTGATGGGCCTTTTTGTCATTTGCCCTTTATTTTATTCACTTTTCCACCCACTTAAATTTCTGTTTAAATTTGTGAGACCACTCGGACTAGTGTGAGAAAACAAAAATATCATCAACCACTATAACCCTAAACTGAAATGATTTACGCGGCAGCAAAATTACGAATGTCGTTCACAATAGTTTTCTCTTCCACTCTCTAAAAACTCCCAAATCCACCCAAACCCCAAAACCCCCAAAAGCCCCAAAATTCACAAAAACCCTCAACCCCTCTCACAAATCCTTCCAAATCCGAAAATCCCGTCAATTTGAAAGGTAATTAATCATCTAAAATAGTTATATATATATATATATATATATATTGAATTTGCGGTTAATTATGTGAATATCCCCATAAAATCGCGATTTAGGGTTGTTTTTAGAGTTGGGTTTTCAAATTTTCCATTCCCAAAATGGGAGTGTGAAAGCAGTTTCCACGCCTAAACCAGGCGTGGAAACTGCTTTCACACGCCCATTTTAGGCGTGGAAATTGTTTCGGGCGTTCGGTCCAGACGCCGGTTCTGGACCGGTCGTCCGGTTCAAAAAAAAAATTCCCAGTATAAACGCAGCGATGTATTATATATAAACTAGTAACTATACCCGTGCGTTGCACGGGGTACCATTACAAAACAAATGAAATTAAATAATTGAGTATACATAACACCACCATAAGAAAATCGTAAAAAGAATACATCACACTATAAGAAAATTTAGAACTTGATTAATGCAATTAAGAGTAGTTTTCACGATTGAACAATCAAACCTAAGGCTCCACAACTTGTCGAAGAGTCAAAGAAAGACCTTCTCATAATTTAATTTTGGCAAAAAATATTCTTTCATTATAAAAAAGAAATAATTAACAAAGTAGTCCATTTACAGAAATAAGAGGTGCACCAAGATACGGTCATTGATGGAATATGACCAACAATTGCTCGTTTCCACCTCCAACCAAGAAGAATCGTTCATTGCCCTATCTATCCATTAAAATACAAAATATGTTTTAAATTATGAATTTTGAAAAAAAATCTCAGCTCATTAAGTAAACAATGAGAAATAGTCATTGTATTAACTCGAAATTTTTTTTTCTCTTAAACTGCTAAGTAAAAAACATTGAAATTAAAACTCAAATTGGAGAAATATTCTCTCTTGAATTGTTTATAAAAAAATATAGAAATTTAAACACAACTCAAAAAAATATTTTCTCTTTAAAATGTTCATCCTAATTCGTACGCGACTACCGAACCGCCCCTTAATTTGCGCCTATGGCACCGAGCCTTGAACAAAGTTACACCGAGCCTCCACCAGGAGCTTGTCGAGCCACCTGCTATTTGCGCATCGGGAGCTCACTATCTTCATTCGGCACGGAATATCACAAACTCCACATTGGTATGATGTTGTCCAGATTGGACCAAGCCTAACTGGTTTTGCTCTTGGGTTTCCGCAAGAGGCCTCATACCTATAGAGTTGTTATCCCCTCCTTATAAATGGCTGATCTTTTCCATATTAAACCGATGTGAGATATTGTTTGCACACCTCAATATATTTCGGATAAGATCTTTTGTGAGATGAAGAATTGTGTAAGTCTAAGAGAAAACCTGTTACAATTATTCAAGCATCTACAACTTCTTCCAAGTACATGCTATTGTGATTAAAAACGAAAAGAAAAAAAAACGCAATGGTTAGAAGTATAAAAATAGAGGATTTAGCAAATAAGAAATACACAGATTATAAACATTTAAACCAATTTTTCTGGAAAGTAATTTATTCCATTACTACTCTGGGAATTCTTCCTCGTCGGTGCGTTTATTTTCTCTATCAACAGTATAAGAAGCATGGTTCGCTGGAACGGAACAATGCATTGTCGCGGACACTGCCGTTCCAGTTCTGTTGCAACTTCGCGGCTGCGTCGTGGCCAGAACGAACACATTTTAATTAAAATACGAAAAATTAGGATTAATGTCAAATATTTTTTTAGTATTAATATTATAGTAAAAATAATATACAAACTATCAGTACAACTCATATTTTAATTTTAGAACAATTTTAAAACATTGAGAAGTAGAATTAAGGGTGAAAATGTAAGTTATGAAAATATCTCTTTAATTTTAGAGAAATAAAAAAACAATTTTGAATAAATTGCAAATTTTGAAAACTTAAAATACCTACTCATAATCATGACACGTCGTTCTCTGACCCCAAATCAAACTACATTTAAACTGTTGGAGTTAATTGTAAATTTTTAAAACTTTTAATTAAAAGTTAAAACTTTTAGTTTGCGATCCTTGAATCGTAATTGGAGACCTGAAAAAAGTAAATTATGATGATTCATCGTTCCAATCCCTTTCCAGGCCATTCCGGTACGCTTGACAACCACGACCATCCTATTTATTGCCATGTCCCGGTATTCTGGCCGTTTTTTGCCCGTTTGGCTACGTTTTTTTTGTTGTGGAACGGTTTGGTTATGGTTTCCCGAACGGAGGACACCATTCCCGTTCGTTCCGGCTGTTCCGACCGTTCCAGCGAAGTAGCGAACCATGATAGGAAGTGTCACACTGATACCACCAGTTTTATTTTTAGGAAAACATTTAGACAAATTATATATATATATATATATATATATATATATATATATATATATATATATATATATATGAACACATCCCACATAGCTTCACCTTTATTAATTCATATTTTCCTGCTAACTTTCTTGTTTCTTTGATGGCATCAATCCGCTTTTGCAAGAAAAAAACAAATGCTCTAGTGATTTGGAAGAACAACTCATCCTCATGTTCTCAATTCTGTAAAAAAAAATGGGCGAAGGAAACGCGTAATATTTTGGGGTCCGAAATTCAAAATATTGAATCATTAGAAAAAAAGCAGCAACATCACAAAAGAATAATATCAAAAGATGTATCGACTGAAATGTATGAGAGTGAGAGAGATTTTACGGGTTTTCCAGAGCGGACGTCGAAGGATTTGCAGCAGGAGATTACAGATGGGGATAAAGACACTCGTCATGGATAATACATAATAGGGTGGAGCTCTACGTTATTTTCTTTGTTTTTATGGTATTTCATTTGGTATATATGTAGTGGAGGATTACGTGGGATTGTGGGGAAGTTGTAGGGAAACGTTCTAGAAAACTGCTCCAAAATAACTGACCGAATATGCGGATAAACGTATGGAGAGAATAAAGAATAAAATAACTGCTGAAGTAGTTATTGTCAAAATTGCTCCAAAATTGCCCCTA